AAAAAAAAAAGAGAGAGCGAAAGTGATTCCTTACCTGGACTGTAGGGTCTGCTCTACTTCTTGAATTAGCTAGCTGTACATGACGAGGTTCATCCACTGAAAAAGAAGTATCATCGTTATGTTGTGGTTACTTGCTGTTGAGTCAATTGCAATTTACAGTGACCACTTGTGTGCAGAGTAGAACTGCTCTATAGGATTTTCAAGGCTGTGACCTTGCAGAGGCAGATCACCAAGCCTGTCTTCCGAGATTCCTCCTTCATGGGTTCAAACCACCAACCTCTCAGCTAGTAGTAGAGCAATTGACCCACCCAAGGATGCTTGTTATCATCTCAACAACCAATCCATGTTAGCGCAATACAGAGCAGGGCTAATGGACTTCCTCTCCTGGATTGCTCAGTCCAGTCTCGGCATCCATTTCCAGTTAACTCCAACCCAAGAAGGAGGTCTCATCTCCCCAGAATAGCAATTCTTAATGAGATGTTTGTTTCTCTGAGGTTGACCAGCTGGCCAGGCTAGAGGTACTTTCTAAAACTCAAGGGGAGTAAGTTTAATTTACACCAGGCTGTTCTCCAGTTTCCTCTTGAATTTATGACTCCCACATAATCCTCTGCTTTATTAAGCTATTGGAAAAAAAATAAAATCTGTCCGCCAAGATCCTAAAGCAGCCTGGGCAGCCAGCAATATATAAAGGCAGTCACTGGAGGTAGGGGGGTCAGCAGTTTGGCTGGTCTTTGATTAACTGCTCAATATTCTTAGGCAGAAAAATGTCCCCCTGAGATCATGCTAGGAGAGGTGGCCTAGCATGTGCCCTGTCCCTGGGAAGAGGAGGTAGCTCACCTCCATTTCTGTTAGGTAGAGTCCTTTTCCATCCTTGGAGAGGTTATGGAAAGCCTCTGTGGGAAAGAAGGAAAGGTTTCAGGTTGAGAAGAAGAGGCAGGGCCCATATGGAGAGAAAAGCAAATGTGGCTATTCTGAGTAAAGTACCACTCACCCTCGGAGGACTCGGTCCAGCCCCCTCCTCTTCTCTTTCCAGCCAACCTCCCGGTGACCAGACAGGACTCACTTTCTCAAAATATCTCGCTGAGATCACTCAGCCCAAACACTCCTCCTTCTCTTCCATTTCCTTACACCTTGAATCTCTACCCCTTGGCCTGGGGAATGTGTAGCCGTTCTTGCTAAATATTTCATGGATACAAGTCAGAGGCCCTTTAATGTTCAACTGAGACATCTGTGGGGGTAAGGCTTGTGTCTCAGATTTCTCCTGCCCCAGAGCTTTGGTCTCTCCATCTTTATTGAGTGTCTTATTCACTGGTTTTCAGACTGTTCTGAAGAACCGTGAGGGTTTTCAGAGACACTCATGACAGGGGGTGGGGCTCAGGCACCCCGACTTCTACCTCAGCACAGCAGTTGTACTGTGAACCCTATCATGTTTTGGGGTTTCACATAAGATTTCATTTGAAACAAAGGATTATGCTGCTAAAATGTGTCACAACCTCTGTCTACACAGTTGGATTCTGGAGCCATGGGAAAGACCTTCTGCCCCCATCTAGTCACCTGCCTGTGAAGTTCCTTCAGTAGAGACACAAATCTTTCATTGCATGCTTCCAGAGGAGGTTTAAACTAAACACAATGAGGAGAGGAGATAAAGTGATTCAAAGTAATCCTTTTCCAGAGAGAGAGGCTGGCTGAGGTAATGAGGAAATGAGGGAACTGAGGTACAGGAAGTCTCAGGAAGAAAAGGTTCAGAGGGGCAGCTGGGATATAAGCCTATTGCATTATTATATAGCCAGAGTGGGTGCTGCCCTTCTCTGGGAGCAATAGGTCCTGACACAGAACTCCAAGCCCAGTGACTACAGAGGCTTCGCCCAGGTGCTCCTGGTCCTCTCCTGCATCCTTTGGTCACTGTGAAGGTTTCCAGGATGTCAGTACTCCCCTCCCCAGGTGACACTTACTTGCCATGACTTCAAGTTTCATCAGGAAGCAAACCAAGCTTGGGAAGCTGATCCTGCCAGTATGGTCGCTATACCGGAGGGCCATTAGATCCAGCAGCTCTCTGCTGACAGAGATTCCTATAAGGAAATCTGGGAACACAGGATGAGCTAGTGAGGTGGGGAAGGTAGAGTAGGGCATGGTCCTCTGCCTCACAATGTTTGAGATACTGCTTCAGAGGACCTAGTGGCTTTCCCAGCACCATTTACTGCTAAGGCTGCCTTGGCAGCCAGTCCACTCAAGATGATCCAGTCTTTTCTTTCTTATTGACTGTTGGAATCCACTCACACTATTCTCATGTTCAGCGACAGACCAATTCAAGACACTCAAGACACCATTCTTCTGGGGACACTTGAACTTTCACCATCATCTGATAGTTCCCACGTTTGATGAATTTCTTATCAGCCCTGCCTCTGTCAGACCTCTCTTTGCAGGTGATCTGGGAAACAAACCTTGTCCCTCCCACCATGACTGTATTTGGTGGATTTATGTGTGGAGGCTACTAATGTGGGTAGATGAGGTCTCTAGAGAAGGAGGGGTGGGGAGGCCTAAAGTTGATCTTCCAGAAACGAGGCTGACCTTCAGAGAAGAGATCAGAATTCAGAAGGTGGCCCCAGATGGTCAGGACACAAGCATCTTGCCCTCTTTGGGTCTTATCATCTTGCATATCTGGTTATAAGCTCTGGGAGACACCAGCCACATAGAGGCCACTGCAGACAGGCAAAAGATCAGGCCTGTAAGCTCTGGTGAGGGAGCTGTTGTTGTTAAGTGACACAGTCAGTCCCAACTCATAGTGACCCCATATTGGGTTTCTGAGGAGTGGCTGGTGGATTTGAACCATCGACCTTGTGGTTCACAGTCCAGTATTTATTCTATAACACCATGCCAGGTGGTTGTTGTTTAAGTGCCATCTAGTCAGTTCTGTCACAGAGACCCTATATAGGGTTTCCAAGGAGCGGCTGATGAGTTTGAACTGCCAACCTTGTGGTTCAAACTGACTTTGCCATTCAGTACTTTATCCCATAGCACCATTTACATGTCAAGCCATCCATCAAGAAAGCAAACCTGGTGGTCTGAGGGCCTTATGTGACCTGAAGCTTTGAAAGAACCTGAATTGGAGTGCCTTTAGGCAGAGCATGTACTCTCCAGTCTATTTCATTCCTAATGCACCCTGTTTTCTCATGGCTAACTCTATCATCACTTTAAGTTATCTCCCTGGTCATGAAGGGTATTGAATTTAGTTCCAACTTTTCTCTATTTTTCTCCCTTTCATTAATCTGGAAGCATTATAATCTGTCCCTTAAAGTTTCACTGCTAACTGGCTTCTTACACTTCTAACAGTGTAAGTTTTACACCATAGTTCCATTGCAGTGATTACAATCTCCCCTGTGCATCATCATTCAACAGTATTTGCTTCCATTCCCTCTGGGGTTTTTGTTTTGTTTTGTTTTGGAGTGGGGTAGGTGGTATACACAAAAACACTCAGGCATATATAATCATTTAAACAACCAAAGGGCACATTCTGCAAGCCTGCCTCCTGGCCACCAGCATACAGCCTTTCTCTTTCCACAAGTCTAGAGTCCTCAGCTGCTCCCTCTCTCCATGTTCCCCATCTCTGCCTCTATCGCTGATGTTCCTGCTTCTCTGGATAGGGTCCCACATTCCACTTGTGCTCTTCTCCCTTGATGATCCTAGGGTCCTCTGTTTCTGGAGTGTAAAATTAACTACTCCCCCGTTTTTGTTATAAAACTTCTACCTTTACAGTTGTGACAGTCGCAATTAGTCATGATAACAAGTACTAACTATTGAATCATAAGAATCTTATCCCTATCTCTTTTCACCAGACCCATATAGACAAGATGGAAAGATTCAGTGGGGACTCTACCTTCCCCCACACTCTCTTAAACTAAACTCCCCCTTGAAACCTTGCAAGCCAATCACTTTGTGCCTTTATTGCACCTTCATTTTAGGTAGCCAGTGTCTAAGTTGCCCATCCCTATCTACCCTGTATACAGAGGGGATAGGATTGATACTTGATTTGAAGACTCTCCCTCTCAGTTGGTATTTTAGGCTACTACATCCATAAGTATAGGCCAAGGTAATCAAATTATAGCAATTTACACTAACAGTGCTTCTTAAGGTGTGGTCCCTGGACTATGAGCTTTGTATCACCTGTGAGCTTGTTAGAAATGTGAATTATTGAGCCCCTCCTGAAACCTACTGAATCAGAAACTCTAAGTGTGGGGCTCAACAATCTAGGTTTTAACAAGTCTTGGAGATTGGAGTTTAGGTGTGGCACTGTAGAATAAGCACTGGACTTCTAACCACAAAGTGGGCAGGTCAAACCCACCAACAGCCCCTTGGAAACCCTGTATATGGTTGCTATGAGTCAGAACCAACTCAATGATACTTAACAACTGGGAGATTCATGCTCAAGTTTGAGAACCACAGTCTTGAGCTTTGAACAATGAAGGGGAGGGTCTTTGTTAAGACAGGGCAGTATTCACGTATTTCTTCAGACCAGGAGGCAAGGGAAAGAGAATTATGGAGACTCTCCTGCCACCCAGCATTAACCCGGGAGAGTATGATTTTACATTTTATTAAGGAAGGTGGCAATTTCCTTACTTAACCTTTTTGTGATCCATTTTCCCCTTCAGTACTGTGGAGATAATGATTCCTGCCCTTCCCAGTCCTCAGGGTAGTCAAGACAATCAGATGAGATGACGTGAGTAGAAGTTCTTGGTGAACTATGAAGCACTTATGCACCCGAAGGTATTATTATCATTATCCTAGGACTGAAAGCTTTTTCCTACTTGAAGCAGACAGATGCCATTTGATTTAATTTAGCCCCCAAACCCTCTGTAAAGAGAGAGCATCAGCCTGCTAGTGGGTATTTAACCCTGATGGCCCAGATGCTGAGATGGAAGCGTCTCTTAGGCAACTCCATTTCTAGTAGGTTAACAATCACGCGAGGCTATTTTCTCACAATTAGAGCTATGCCAGGAAGAAAGGCAATTAGGAAAATTGACCAATGCACTAAGAACTCAGGCGGGGGAGGATGGTGTCTGAGTGCAGAGCCCAGGAGCCCCACAGAGGTCAGAGTAACCCAGTGGAGGACATGGACACAACCACTCACACTCCTCCCTTTCTCGTTGCCCACCATTGTGGCACCAGCCTTGCCTCAGTGTGCTAGGGGCGTGGGACACACACACACACACACACACCTCATGACTCCAATCACCACAGCTCCACGGCCTCCCTTTACCTGTATTCTCTATGGCCTTCCGCAGGTCCAAGCTCAGGAGAACCCCAGGGCTCCTCTGAGTGTTCTGGAAAGCATGCTTGTATGGGAAAAGAAGTAAGAAGCCTGAGTGAGTTCCATTGGCCACCTGGAGCCTGGGAGGTCCTATAAGTCTTTTCTCTATTCCTGGAGGTTACTTCCTGAAAATGTGAGTGAGACCCAGATCTGAGGTAGTCAGGGCAGCTGAGCTGAGGAGAGGGGCAGGAAGGTGTGGACTATATGGCTGGAGTTAACCATCATGATCGCCAGCCTACAATATGTGGACTCCTCTGCCCAGACCCACTCACCCTCCTCAGTTCCCCAGGCAGCTCTCCTCTGCTCTTTTACCCCCTAGACTGTACACCTTGTGTCTGACACATAGGACACCTTGACATCTTGCTATTTTTGAGGGAATAGAGCTCTCTAGAAGAGAACTCGTGTAAAGTAGCAGTGAAAGGCTCAGACTTCAAAGCTAAACTGTGAGTTTAAATCTTGTTTGATTATTTGTCAGCCATGTAACTTGGGCAAGAGACTCAATCTCTAGGTTCTGTTGCCCAAAATGTAGCAAAGAGCTAATTACAGTACCTGCTTCAGGGGTCTGTGGTGAGGAGTGAATGATCAACAGTTTATAAAGTGCTAAGAAAGTAACTTGCAGAGAACATTATCATGGATCCAAGAAGCCCAGTTGCAGAATGTAGTAATAGTACCACCTCACTCTTGTACGAGGCAACTCTCACATTATACAGATGTTGTGGTAGCTGTTAGGTGCCATCAAGTCAGTTTCGACTCATAGCAACCTAATGCACAATAGAACGAAACACTGCCTGGTCCTGCGCCATCCTCACAATCGTTGCTAAAACTTGAGCCCATTATGGCTGCCACGGTGCCAATCCATCTCATTGGGGGTCTTCCTCTTTTTTTGCTGACCCTTCCTTCAGAATAGTACCAAGCATTCAGAATATTATCTCTACCTAATTCTCATTATAATCCTGGTTTTCACCCCTACTTCACAGATGAGGAACCTGGTACAGTGATAGGTAACTAATGAGTCTTGGATTATATATAGTCGTGCTGGAGGCTGAACTGAACTCCCAGTAAAACCACTTTGCTTTCAAGTCAATTCTGACTCATGACAATCTCGTGTGTGTCAGAGTAGAACTGTGCTCCATTGGTCTTCATTGGCTGATTTTTCAGAAGTAGACCACAAGATGATTTTCCAAGGTACCTTTCTGCCCACTGCCATCAGTTGATTCCGACTCATAGCCACCCTGTATAGGGTTTCTGAGGCTACAAATGTAAGCTCTCCTTGAGGACACACATTAGGTAGCCAATTCTTTCATGTCCCTCAACCCTGGTACATGACTGAGTACACTGGAAATGTTGCAAATGGCTACTAACCAAAAGGTTGGGAGTTTGAGTCCACCCAGAGGTGCTTTCGAAGAAAGATCTGGTGATCTACTTACTAAATATCAGCCACCGAAACTCAAATGCAACCGGTTTAATTCTACAGATATCTGCTAAACTGGCCTGCATAAGAGTTAGCCTCAACAGAACGTGTCACATACCTGACAGTTGACAAGGCGTTCCCACAGTCTTTTAAATTCCTCTTGGTCCAGTAGTCCATTCACTTTCACCTGGGTTGAGTGTTAAAGCATTAACCAATCTAGCATGCGGTGAGCTGGCTCTGCCAGCTAAGTGGAAGCAATTCCATTCATTAGCTAGTAACACAGCCCAGCTAATGCCACCTAGACGTGGCCGCGAGTCAGCTGGCTCCCAGCTACCTCTGGAAGGAACCCAGCTTAGCTTTATTCTACAAAGAAAAATGGACAATTACAAGAAAAGAAGTCTTGAGAAATGGGAGCAAATATCACTTGCACCTGGGGCTAGTGAGACACCCCAGCACACAGCCACTGAGACAGTTTGAGTGGGGTCCCTGGCGGGAGTGAGTGGACTGGAGCCTGGGACACTTGCCACAACTCCTGAACTGAGAAAGATAGTGGAATGTGGATTGTGTGCACGCATGTGGATGGAACGTTCCCAGTCAAAACAGCCCTGGTCACTCCATGTAGCAGCTTCAATGATAACAATAAAAGTCATCTACCTCTGAGGAACTGGAGAGGGCGCTGGTGGGTGAGTAGGAGGATGAAAGACCAGACTTGCCTGCTTTCCAAGAGTCTGGCAAGCATGTGCTCCCCTAGGGCTACCTACCCTTGGCTGTGGGGGCTGCCTCGGGCCATTTTGATTCATCTGCAGGGATAAGTGGTTGTCTTCCAGTGATTCAAACTACAGCCAGCAGAGACAGGGCTGATTTATGATTTCATCAAGAAGCCCTCTTGTTCTACAATGGCCAGCATAGCATTCCCAATCGAGTCTTGTTAGCAGCAAAGGTGCCGGGTGATCAGTCTCACTCTCAGGACAGCTGGCAGGGCAGGGGCTTATGCACATGTGAGCTGGCCTCTCCCTACCTGTGGGAGTCAGGGCAGATAGTCCACTAGAGGGGAGATGAGCAAAGGCAAGTTAGGGGTTCTGCAATGTAGGTAAGTCAGCAAAAGGACCAGCAGCAGTCTCCTCTTCTGCACACACACAGTAATAATAATGATGAGATGAAAGTGCCATGTAGACTGAAGAGTGTCCTACAAATTTTGGTAGGAAACTTGGAAAGTCTTGGTATGGAATGTAAATAGTGGAGATTCCTTGAGAGGAAAGAAGAGGTGTGAAAAGAAAGATAATTCCCACTGGCATGGATCCTGATAAGCTGTATGATTTAGGCAAATGATTTAACCTCTCTGTACCTGTTTCTTTCATTGTCTAATTGAGTAATGTGTATGTATAGGGGCTGCTGCCTGAATTACAAGGAAGATCTACCTGCACCCACGCATTCTTGGGGCATAATAGATGCATCAAGTAGGTGGCAGCCATCATCACTGTTGCTCTCAATAGTTAGTGAGTTAGTGGAGACTCCTCAGAACCCAGGCTCTTTGGTGAGGACTTAGAATCAAAGAACAGAATATTCTGTGAGTGAGGGCTCCCTAATGTCCCATGAGACCCCTGGAAAGGTCGACGAGCAGATGGCCTTTTAGTGTTGAGTGGGAGGCTGGGGGATAACCGCAAAGGATACATCCATCAGAGCCAAGATGCCCCGGCACTCATCCAAGGAGAACATGACCCCTGGAAGTTCTGAGGAGGAGAGAAGAGGAAGGACTGGTGTGATAATGGGACTGACATTGGGCTGGCCCCGTAGTGGGGATGACCATACCTTTCAGGAGTTCCTGGTTGAGCAGGTTCTGAAGCTGGGAGGCATCAATGTTCATCCCCTGTTCCAAACAAGAGAGGAATGCAGGACAAGATCAGTGCCCAGGACCGGATGGACACACAGGCCTGATGCTGTGAAAACATTCACAGTTCTTAAACACTTACTTCCCTCAGCAGGTTCATCTCACAGGACCCTGCCCTCCTCCCGGAGCCTTAGCTCCAGGCCACAGTGAGAACTCCCAACTCCAACAGGGCTAACCACTCCCTACATTTGGCAACTGGTGTAGGTTGCCTTGCATTTGTCTTTTCATCCATTGCTGAACTGGGTCTGCTCAGTACCTATGTACCAGGCACTGGGAAGCACCTCAGAAGAGGATTGCCGAATGAATCAATTCAGCTTTTAAGGTGAGTTTTTTAATCTGCTTTAGAATAAAACTAAGAGAAGCCATGGCCGCTCTCTTTCTCTGTCTCTCACTCTGTATGTGTGAGTGTGTGATGAAGGGAGGTAAAAATAGTAGAAGTATAAGCTAAGAGAAGTTCCTGTAATTGAGTGCCTTATGTGACCTTCGTCTTTCCAGCCACTGAAGCAAAAAAGGATGCATCGTGGTTTTATTTAGATTAATAAGAGGAAGCAATTGAGGTTGTGGGTAGAGAGAAACATCTCCTGGCCTGAACTTTTGGAGGATTGCATTAAATTTTAAAACCATAACGTAAAATCCCAAAGACTGAATGACTTTCCGAGCAGTATCTTCTGTGACGGTTTCACAGAGAAGCAGAGCTGTTGTATATGACGTCATTTCTTACATCCACCCTGGGAAAAGCTAAGGGTGACATTATCACTCTTACGTGACATTACCATCCTGTTGTAGTTAAGTGCCTTCGAGTCAGTTCAGACTCATTGCAATCCTGCATACGGTTTCCAGAAGTGATTGGTGGGTCTGAACTACCGACCTTGTGGTTAGTAGTCCAGTGCTGGTCCTACAGCACCAGGAAGCTTTTACATGGGGAGCTGGAGGGACACCTCTCTGCAGGTGGTTTTATAGAGTGGCTCCAGGACAAATGGAAGAAGTGTCTCTTTGATGTTTCTGAGCAAACGAAACCACAAAAGCACCTGTCTTCAGAAGATGACAGATCCCCCATCCCTGTCTACATTTACAGGGTTGGCTTCACCACCTAGAAAACCCTCCAGAAAACCCATTGATGTCAAGTGATTCTGACCTCAGTGACCGTCTAGGACGGAGTAGAAGTTCCCCAGAAGTTTTCCAAGGCTACACATCTTTACAGGAGCACACAGCTGCATCTTTCTCCTATGGGGTAGCTAGTGGGTTTGAATGGCTAACTGTCGGGTTAACACCTGAATGTTTTCGCTGCTGCATCACCAGGGTTCCTTTCACACTGAGAACTGTAAGCACAAACAGCCTGTCCTTATGGAAAATCTTCTGCTAGAAGGATGACCCTCCACGATGTCTCTGAGGGAAAAATCCTGCCAGTGGAACTGGCCTTGGAGCCATCTTCCACAGGTAGGTTGGTGTCAGCAAAGTCAGCGTTGTGTGCTACACCAACTGAGTTTTCTCTTCAAAAAGAGGCATGATACCTCACTTTGAACAGCAGTTTTCATGTTAATAAGGCACTTTAACTTACATAGACTTACCCATCTAGATTATAAACCACTTTGGGTTCGGGATCATGTCTTATTCCTTCTCCATACCTCCCACCTTTGGGCAGACCCTGACTTAACCCTGCACTCAGTAACCAATCAACCATGTTTGAGGAGCTGAATATAAGATCAGGACTAGTGATGATTTAAAGAAATTCTAAAGAAAACCCTGTATGGCTTGCCACTCAGGTCATAACATAAAATCCCCAACACTGATGTGTACTCCTAAAGCTTAGTGCAGCACTTGGAATGTTCTAGGTGCTCTGCAATGTTCATCAATTGAATAAATGGATGGAAGGATGGATGGATAGACCTGACCTATCCCAGAGTCTGTGTGTGTCTTTTGTTGCCTACAAACAGATCCTGGGTTATAGTACCATCTCCACAACTAGTGTTGATAAAGGTAATGCCTAGTAGCAGTAGCAGAGCCTCACTATGCCACTGTTTATTAGTTTAAGACTAATCAAACTGATAGACGGCACCAGGAGAGAAGACACAGTGTGTCCATCAGTCAGTATTTTGCTTTAAACTTTCTTTTGAGGATGGTTTGCAGGTTGTGCAGATGATGCCCAGCCAAGGAGTAAAAATGGGCTACAATTGAATCTGTGTTCCATTTAGCAGGTGCATACCTTGGCAAAGAGCTGCATCTGTGCTTCATTCTAATCCTACAGCAACCCCCATAGGCTACCTGTCATACCCTTTATGAGGAGCAACTTGGCTACTGCTTGGTGGTGGTGGTGGTGGTGGTTATGTGCTGTGGAGTCGGTTCCGACTCATAACAACCCTGTACAGGGTTTCCAAGGCTGTAAATCTTTACAGGAACAGAAAGCCTCATCTTTCTCCTGTGGAATAGCTGGTAGTTTCAAACTGCTGACCTTAAGGTTAGCAGCCCAACTTGTAACCACTACACTACCAGAGCTCCTTTAGTTGGTGCTTGGAAATCTATACTAATTTGGAATCTCTATCAATTTATCATATAACATATGATATCATACATCATATAACAAGTTAGGTGATTTTGGTTTGTTTTTTTTTAATCTATTTTAGATGTGCAGAGACATGGACGAGGTGTGAGAGTTTTGTAACCTGCCCTTGAAGAAATCTTGGTTGTACACATCCTAACCAGGCCCTGCTGATAACCTATAAGCAGCTCATCTTAGTTTGGGTACCTGCTGTGGGGAAATTAATCACTCTGAATTCAATTAAACCAAACTGATTGAGCACCTCCTTTGTGCCAAGGACAGTGATGAGTGTTGGGGACAACGAATGAATATGACATCATCCCTGACTTCGGGCACTCAAAGACTTGGCAATCGTCTGGAAGGCCTTGCCATGCATCAGGTGGAGTGGAACTTGTATGAGCTCAGATGGAAGGCCACAATCCCGAGCTGCTAGTCATCCCAAGGAGGCTCACACTCAGCTGCTGCTTGAAACGTATACCCTGCGCGCTCCTGCCGCATTCTACAGTCCTCACTGTTGGTTTTCCTAGGGTCAGGGCTGCCTTAATCCATTCCCTTTGGACTGCCTCCTTGCTACCATTGCTCCACTAGTTCTCTGAATGCAGAGACATGGCCTCGCAGCCTCTCTGTCCTTGGCCTCTGCCTGGCCCAAGGCTGGCACGGTACACATAAATATCGTATCACTTTCCACATAACGTGACTCTTAACAGTAAAGGGGCCAGCGTGCCGAGCCCTTGGCAGCGTCTTTCATCCTGACAAGTCAAGGAGTTCTTCATAACAGTTTATTAAACCATTACAGAAATCTCCTGTGCACATAGGTGGGCTTGGCAGGAAGAATGCTGCTGGTGCTTTCTGAAGCTGGCCAGCTCCCAGGAGGAATGCTGCCAAAGCTGGTGGGGAGGTGGCCGAGCATGAGAAGAACAAATGCCAGTGGCTTGTTTAAAGATTTAAAAAGTACACATGCACACAGCTCATTGTCATCTCTCCATTTCTAAGGCCTATATTCTCTCCCAGATGTCACCCAAGGGGTTTGCCCCTTCTCTGCTGTTTGGCAGCCAGATTAATTTTGGAGATGATCCTGGAGGAGAGGCTGATAAAATGATTCAAGTCATTTTTTCCTATCACTATCCTGAGTGGTGCAAAATGGTTTGCACTCAGCTGCTAACCAAAAGGTTGGTGGCTTGAAACCTGCACAGCAGTGCTATGAAACAAAGGCCTGATAATGTGCTTCTGTACAGACTGCAGCCAAGAAAACCCTACGGGGCAATTCTACTCTGTAACACATGGGGCCACGAGGCCATCATGAGTTGGAATCGACTTAATGGCAACAAGTTAAATTCATTTTTAATCATCTTCATCAGGGCTTGTGAGAGGTTTCCCATCCTCAGGTCTCTCCATCACCCGCTCTTTGTCAGGGCCCCTCCATGGGAGGTACTGTACCTGCTGAGAGTATCTCTGGAAAACACTTGGTTGGAATCCAATTTCTGGAAGACTGGCCTGGAACAGAGAGAAAATAGTCAACGTGAAACTTGTGAGGAAGGGACCAACCAGGCCTTCCTCTTCTCTTGTATAGCAAGGCCACATCTGGTTCTGAGACAGAGGTCTCATCTGGCTGTTGGATAAAATCTTCCAGGGAATGGGAATACTGAAGCTCATGAAAGGAAGGTGGCTGAGTCCAGCCTGGCCTTGTCTCCCTCCTTGTTAAGTGCCATTGAGTCAGTTCTAACTCATAGTGACCCTGTACAGGGTTTCCAAGGAGCTACTGGTGCATTTGAACCTCCAACATGTGGTTCGAACCGACTTTGTGGTCTAGTGATTTATCCCAAAGCACCACATCAGGACTCCTTCTTAATCCCCCCATTATGCTGTCTTTGCTTTCAATGGCCGGTGGTGATACAAGAAGGAAGAAGATGAAATTTTTTGAGGATGAGATGTGATCAATGAAGTTTACTTACAGGCCCTTCCCACACACATACCTGTACTCTTGTGAGGTTTAAATTGTTGTCCAACTTCCTGGAAAATCGAGAAAAATATGACAAAAATTATCAGCCTGTATATATGGAGGACACCCAAGGTAGTTTTGAATATTTATCCCCAGGATCTGCCTGGAGCACCCTCAGAGCTGCAAGATGTGAAGTGCGCAGCTAAGACACACACCAGGGAATGTGCCCAACCTTTTGGATGGGACATGATCTGGTCATCAAACCATTTCTTCAGTGCTATCTTTCACTTCCAGATACACATATACAGATGTCCATTGTCAGGGTGGCAAATAAGCTTTGCCATGTGTTCCAACTCTAGTTGGTAGTGTGGAGGCTGCCTGGCACATGGCACTGTCAAAGGCTCACCTGTGATGATAGCTGCTTTGGGCCCAAGAGGGGAAGTGGCTTCCATCAGGATGTGTACTTGTTGATCCCAGTCTTGACCAACTCAAGACCCTCTATGATTCAATTATCTCTTTCAGGCTCATCTTTCTCTGCTGCCCCCTGGAGTATCCCACCACATCCTGGCCACTTTTCAGACCAGTTGCCGTGCATGCCTAGTACCTCCTTCCTGTATATTTGGCTGACATCACTTAGTCCTCAGCAATTCCTGTGCCCACCCACCCCTGCTTCTGTTCATTCTTTGCCCTGCCCCTGTGCTACCTTCCCATATCCCTATTCCTTCAGATCGAAATGATGTGTTTCCTTCAAGGACTGGCTCCAGTGCCATTCCCTCAGTGCTTCCAGCCAGAAGTATGTCCCTCCACTTTGTGCTGCCCTGACAGTGTGCACATCTATCCAGCAGTGGTCCCATGCTATTTGTGATGTATTATTGTTTCATAGACTTTCTCATTGCCTTTATGGTGAGCTTCTGCAAAGCAGGGCCTGATGCAATGCAGTGAAACATGCATACACACACACATAAAATGAAATAGAATAAAACATTTAGAATCCTAGAAATTCTGTACCTGTCAATGTCTGACACTTTCAGGAAGATGCGGAGCAAGAACTGAACTTCTCTGCTTGTCGAAGTCACTACAGCATAGGTCCCAGGGTTCAAATGGAAACATTGTGTGAGGTTGCACTTGGATTTTGAACCTACACCCTTAGCAGGATATCTGGGTTGGGGAAAAAACGTGGATGGCAATCTGTCCTGTAACTAGAGAAAACATGCTACTGTAAGAACACACCCTTGCGTGCATGTTGTTAAGTGCTGTCAAGTCGATTCTGATTTACAGCAACCCTGTATAGGGTTTCCAAGGAGCAGCTGGTGAGTTTGAACTGCCAACCTTGTGTGGTTCAAACCAACCTTGTGATCCAGTGCTTATCCTACAGAACCACATCTTGCATGCACAGACCCCAACAAGTAAGAGGGACATCCCAAAGTCCTCCTCGTTGACCCAAATGGCATTAACCAGTGGCCTGTGTGTCCATTCTTACTCACAGTGACTGGACCCCATGTGTGTCAGAGTAAACTGTGTTCTATAGGACTTATAAAAGCTATGAGCTTAAGTAGATTGTCACCTCTTTCTTCTGAAGCTTCTCTAGGTTAGACTTGAACCTCCAAAATTCCAGTTAGCAGCCAAGAGTGTTAACTATTTACACCACCCAAGGAAGCCCTTGTAATGGCATTATTGTTGTTAAGAGCCATCGAGTTGGTTCCGGTTCATAGGGACCATAGATGGGGCTTCTGAGAAGTGGCTGGTAGGTTTGGACCACCAACCTTGTGGATCGAATGTGTATCCTACAGCACCACACCAGGACTCCGGAAATGACATTGTTGTTAAGTGCCATTGAGTCAGTTCTGAATCATAGCAACCCTGTATAGAGTTTCCAAGGAGCAACTGGTAAGCTTTAACTGCCAACCTTGCCATTCAAACTGACTTTACAGTCCAGTGCATTATCCCACAGCACCACACCAGGACTCCAGCCCGTGAAAAGAGAGGTAGTGTTTCCCTAAACTCTTAACAAGTGGTTGAATTTAGACTGTTATCTAGATTCTAGAAACTACAATAAATGCAAGGAAATCTGATTCATGATTTTATCTTCATAAGCCTAACAGCATCCAAGGTTTCTGATTATAGGGTTTCATTTCTGCTTACACAAAAAGAAGATGTCCATGGAAACTAAGGACATTATCACCACAGAGGACTTTGGGAGCTCTGGTGACACAGTGGGTTAAGCACTGTACTGCTAACCAAAAGGTCATCTGTTTGAACCTAGCAGCTGCTCTGTGGGAGAAAGATGAGGCAGTCTGCTCTTGTCAAGATGCCCAATCCAGGAAACCCCATGGAGCAGTTCTCCTCTGTCCCATGGAGTCACTGTGAGTCAGAATCAGCTGGACGGCAGTGCCAGATGGGTCAAGACCCTTCTTTCCTGAACCTTTTGCAAATACTTTTTGAAGGCTAGACCACCAATAAGCTGTGCCCCCTTTGCTCCCTCAGTTTTATCTTTCCAACAGAGCCCTGAAATTCCTTCTTATTGGAGAATAATAGGCCCTGATCATTTTCCTTTTATTTCAATATTATCTTAGAGATAAAACAATAAATATAACACAGTTCCTATTACCGGATGTCACATAGATATTATATAATAAAAACTCCTTACTAAACAAATTTTCCCCAATACAGTCGAGCATGGGGATTCCATTTAGAAGAGTTACATAGTGTGAAATGGTTATTTATGAGGTCTGCCTAGGGGAAAAAACAAGGAAAAGGAGAGGGAGGCTTTCCAGGCAGGGGGGATGGGAGTGAGCTCCATGATGATACAGGGCTAGGCCTGCATTGGGTCGGATATGCAGTAGGGAGCTTGGTGGAGCCACCTCTGCTGACATTAGATCCCCAGCAAGTTTGAGAGTCTGAATTGCTGGAATTCTGGCAAAAGCCATGATGAGATGTATTCTTTTCTGTGGGGTCCACATTGCCCAATGGGACCTGGTGTGTGTGTGCTTAGAAGGACAGTGTGTGTGCAGTGGTGTAAAAAGTGAGGATTTCTCTGCTTTCTAGCTCTCCTGGCCTCCTCTCTACACTGGACCCTTACAGTCCTGTTCAGTCCACTAGTTCTTCAGAAAAGCCTTGCTTGGTGGTGGCTAGAAGAGCGAATGTGAGGAGAGTCAGAGGGAGGTCTTGGTCCAGGGCTCAGAAGCACACACTTCACCACCTAGTTCTAGGTGATATTTGTGCTCTTCCTGAGATAAGTCACCATTTATTCCTGAGAGAATTCCCATTTATTTCCTAGCCTGAGTGCTTCCTGGAAACCCTCCTAGGTATTCCACGTCTCAGTGGGTATGGTTCCAGGGACCACAGTCATACCTGAACCCCACCTGAGTGGCTGCTCTTTATTGGCTTTTTGCCTGCTCTGAGACTCTCTGACCGGAGTCTGCCATCTAGAAGGCCTGGAGGCGCTCCCTTGGTCCTGCCAGCTTTCCCTGAGCACATCTGAGGCCACAGATCTCATATCCATTTAAGAGGTCTGAGTTCTTGTGAGGTTAGTTTCCTGAGCTCCATCATTTCTTCTTCATCTTTACTCATATTTTTAGGTTGCCTCTCTCCAAATGTGTAGGAGGGATGGTGGTTTGGCTGTAAAAGGAACTATAGAAGGTGTGTTGAAGCTGCATTTGCATAGTCTGCACTCTGTGTGTGGCAAACCACATGGGAGGCCAAAGAGTCTCCTTAGGCACTCAGCCTTCCCACTGTCTCTCTTCTTAAATAAAAAATAACTGGCTCTGATGGTTAATTTTATGTGTTAACTTGGCTATTGTCCCACTGGTTTGGCCAAACAGTAGTGTCATTGTTGTTCCATAATCAGTCAATCAGCTGAAAAGGGAATTTGCTTAAGATGTATACTGCCTCCAGACTATAAATATCTATAAATAAATAGATATTTTGGCAGAGCCCTCTCTCTCTTCACTCCGCACTCTTTCCATTGCCTGACCTACAGATCTTTGGATACAAGCATATAGAGTCTCCAGTCTGTGACCTGGCCTACATATTTTGTACTTGCCAGTCCTCACAATTATGTGACCAATTCTTCAAAGTAACTGTCTATACATCCAGATAGATAATTTACCTCTATGGCCATATCACCCTGAATGCACCTATCTCAAAAGATCTTGGAAGCTAAGCAGGGTCAGGCCTGGTTAGTTCTTGGATGAGAGACTGCCTGGGAATACCGGGTGCTGTAGGCTTTAAGAAGTCCTGGTGTGGCACTGTAGGATAATCACTGGGTCCCAAGGTAGGTTTGAACTGTAAGCTCAGAAGTTCAACCTCCCCAACCGCTCCTCGGAAACCCTACATAGGATTGCTATGAGTCAGAATATCAATCTACCTACTTACAATCACTGGTTTTGTTTCTCCAGAGGACCCTGATTATGACCCTACCTGTCAACTCTGTCAACTCTCTCTATCAGGGCCCAGAAAGCTTGAAGGTAGTTTTGCCATTGTAGCCCCTCTTGAATGTCAAACCAGAGAACAGCCCAAGAGGTCCCACTTTTAAAGTAGGACAACAAAAGTATTCCCCCAAACTTTTGACCCTTTTGAGATTCCAAGCGTGTCTCTGTTACATGGCAGAGCTGAATTTACAGCCAAAATATAGTAAGAGACCGGGAAAGGCCACAGATGTTGGAAGACGCATAACACTTTACCCACAGACACCACCAAGGTGTGAGAAACCCAGCAGAGAGCTCAGGGCGATGGTGTTCCATACCTGGGAGTCCACCTGTGGGGAAGAGGAGGAAAGGCATGTTGAGTGAACCAAACCCAAACAAGATGGTGAGCAAGTCAGAGCTGAGCCTGGCTCAGGGCCACCGTTCTCTCTCCCCAGCTGTGCAGTCAGCCTCTTCCAAACACACCACAGGCCATAAAGAGATGTAAGAAAGGAAACCTAACCAGTCATAGGGGCAAAAAGTGGGAAGACACTGAGGAGGAAGAAGTCGTGGATAGGAGGAAACTCTGCCTATATCAGCTCAGGAATGGTGATAAAAATGGAAGGGAAAAGTGAGACATTGAAAAGGGCAGAAGCTGAGACAGAACTGGGATAAAATATAAATTCATTAGCATCTAGTACTTTCCAGCCACTTGAAAATATGATAGGCACTGGTTGTAGGACCCTGGTGTTGGTAGGGAATACAGGTGCATATGAGTGGGGACACTTCCTGATTGCAGTCCCCTTTGTAAGCACTTCCTGACTTGCAAATCACTTTCCTTTAATGTGTTGGAGCATGCATCACAATGAACCTAAAAGCTGCCTCTGTTGTTTTAGGTGTTGTTGAATTGGTACACTCAGCAACCTTAAGCACAGCAGAGGGAAACACTGTCCATTTCTGTGCAGATCTTACAATCTTTGCTACACTTGAGCACATTTTACAGGCATTATATCCCTCTCCAGGGATTGATCCCTCCTGATAATATGTCTGAAGTATGAGAGATGAAGTCCCAACATCCTGGCTTCTAAAGAGTACTCTGGCTTTACTTCTTCCAATACAGATTTGTTTGCTCATCTGGTGGTCCTGGTACCTTTAATATTCAACCCCAACACGAAACTCAAATGTATCAATTCTTCTACAGTCTTCTTCATTCATTGTCCAAGTTTCACATGCATATGAGGCTACTGAAAATACCATGGCTTGGGTCAGACACACCTTAGTCCTCAAACCGACATCTTGGTTCTTGAACACTTTAAAGAGGTCTTGTGCAGCAGTTTTGCCCAATGAAATGAGTCATTTGGTTTCTTGAATGCTGCTTTCATGAGTGTTGATCCAAGCAAAAAACCTTTGATAACTTCAATCTTTTCTTCATTTATCTTAATGTTATTTATTGGTTCATTCGTGAGGATTTTTTTATTTCTTTACACTGAGGTGTAACCCGTACTGAACACTGTGGTCTTTGAACTTCATCAGTAAGTATTTTAAGTCCTCTTTGAACTCAACAAGTGAGGTTATATTGTCTACATATCACAGGTTGTTAATGAGTCTTTCTCCAATTCTGAGTCTATGTTCTTCATATAATCCAGTTTCTCAGATTATTTGCTCAGCATAGAGATTGAATAAGTATGGTAAAAGAATACAACCCTGGCACAAACATTTCCTGAATTCAAAGCATTCAATGACCCCTTGTTTTGTTCGAATGTTTGCCTTATAGTTCATGTACATGTTCCTCATAAGCACAATTAACTGCTCTGGAATACTATTCTCTGCAATGTTGTTCGTAGCTTGTTATGATCCACATAATCAAAAGCCTTTGCATAATCAATAAAGCACAGGTAAATGTCTTTCTGTTATTCTCTGTTTTTAGCCATGATCCATCTGGTGTTAGCAAGGCTATCGCTCATTCCATGTCCTTGTCTGAACCCAGGCTGGACCTCTGGCAACTTCCTGTCAATGTACTGCTGTAGCCATTTTTGAATTATCCTTAGAAAAATTTTACTTGCGTGTTATATTAATGATATTACCCGATGATTTCCACATTCTCCTGGGTCTTGTCTCTTTGGGCACAAGTATGGATCTCTACCAATCAGTAGGACAAGTAGCTGTCTTCCAAATTTCTTGGCACAGATGAGTGAGTGCCTCCAGTGCTGCATCAGTGTTTTGGAAACATTAAAATTTGTATTCCATCAATTCCTGGAGACTTGTTCTTTGCCAATGCTTTCAGTGTACCTTGGAATTCTTCCTTCAGTATCATTGGCTTTTGATCACATGCTGCTTCTTGAAATGGTTAGACATCAACAATTTCTTTTCAGTACAGTGACTCTGTATATTCATTCCATCTTCTTTTCATGCTTTCTGCAACAGTCATTATTTTGCCCATAGAATCCTCCATAATTGTAAGCTGGTTATACAATAACTTGTTTTTGTATAACCTTCATTTTTTTCTTTCAGCTTGAGAAATGCTGAACATGTTCTTCTTTTTTGGTTTTCTAACATCAGATGTTTGCACATTTCATTTTAATACTTGACTTTGTCTTCCCAACCTGCCCTTTGCACTTTTCTGTTCAGCTCTTTTACCTCCTCATTTCTTCCATTTGCTTTAGCATTTCTGTGCTGGAGAGCAAGTTTCAGAGTCTCTTCTGACATCCGTTTTGGTCTTTTCCTTTCTTACTGTCTTCCTAATGACCTTTTACTTTCTTCCTGTATGATGTTCTTGATATCCCACAACTCTTCTGGTTTTTTGTTTAATGCTTCAAATCTCTTCTTGAGATGATCTCTAAATTCAAGTGGGATATGTTCACTTTTTTTTGGCTCTTGTGGACTTGTTTTAATTTTCTTCAGTTTCAACTGAACTTGCATATGAGTGTGTTGATGGTCTGTTCCACAGTCTGCCATAGACCTGGTTTTGTCTGATAATATGGAGCTTTTCCACCATCTTTCCACAGATGTAGTCAATTTGACTTCTGTGCATTCCATATGGTGAAGTCCATATGAATAGTTATCTTTTATGTTGTTTAAAAAAGGTATTTACAGTGAAGGAATAATTGGTCTTATAAAATTCTATTATGTGATCTCCATCATCATTTTTTCTCCAAGGCCATATTTTCCAACTACTGATCTTTCTTTTTATCTAACCTTTGTATTCCAATTACCAGTAATCATCAATTCCTCTGGACTGCATGTTTTCTCAATTTCAGATTGCAGATTGCATGTTTCTTCAATTTCATTAACACTGGCTTTAGCAGTTGGTGTGTAAATATGAATAAGAGTGATATTAACTGGTCTTCCTTAGAGATGTATGGATATTATCCTATCACAGACAGTGTCATCCTTCAAGACAGATCTTGAAATGTTCTTTTGGATGATTAATGTGATGCCATTCTCTTCAATTTGTCATTCCTGGCATAATAAACCATGTAATTTTCAGATTTAAAATGGCCAATACCAGTCTATTTCAGCTCACTAATGCCTAAGAGACCAATATTTATGCATTCCATTTTATTTTTTATAACTTCAATTTTCCTAAATTCATACTTCGTACATTCCATGTTCTGATTACGAAGAGATTTTTACAGCTGTTTCTCCTTAATTTGAGTTGTGCCCCATCAGCAAATGAAGGTCCCAAAAGCTTTACTCCATTAAAGTCATCATGGCCAACTCTTCTTTGAGGAGGCAGCTCTTCCCCAGTCATATTTTGAGTGCCTTACATCCTCATTTTCTGGCACTATATCTGACAGTATTCTGGAGTTCCTCCTCATGTTTCAATATTCTTATGCTTATAGTGTTCTACTACTGACAAAATATTTGTAAGTCGTCTGTCTCTCTTTCTTCCTACTCTGTCTTCACCTGGAAGTTCAGCAGAAACCTGTCCTCCATGGGTCACTCTGTTGGTATTTAAAATACCAGTGGCATAATTTCCAGAATCACAGCAACACACAAGCCACCACAGTCCCACAAACTGACAAAAGACTGGTGGACAAACTGACACTAGGCTCCCTATTTTATGGATGCAGAAACTAAGGTTCTGCAGCATAAGGTGCAAAGCAGGATAAAGCAAGCTGTGTAATGAGTCCCTACCACCACCACTCCTGGATAAGGTGGATAATAAACACTCGACTGTGAATCACAAGGTCAGTGGTTCAAACACACCAGCTGCTCATCGGAAATCTTGTACAGGGTCGCTATGAATCAGAATCGACTTGATGGCACTTAACAACAACAAGAAGCCACCAGATACATGGATTACCAGGAATCAGAATCGACTTGATGGCACTTAACAACAACAAGAAGCCACCAGATACATGGATTACCAGGAATCAGAATCGACTTGATGGCACTTAACAACAACAAGAAGCCACCAGATACATGGATTACCAGGAATCAGAATCGACTTGGAAGAAAAAGGCTTTGGTTTTTGTTGCTGTTGTTACCACCAGGCCTTGTCTTCCACTGTTGATGTAGAGGGCATTGTTGTCTTTCCCACAGATATTCACAACCTATCAGATGTTGATAAGTACCAGATGATTCTCCCAGGGAGACTTCTCTTCAATCCAGATATGAGCTGGCAAAAACTTGTGGGGTGAGCATGAAATAGTTTGCCCTTTCTTGACCTTTGCTACTGTCCTGTCTTCTCCTGCCTATTCACACGCCATCTGTGTTTGGTTGGATGTAAGGCAGAACAGTGCTCCAGCAGCCAGTGGGTAACCTTGAGGCACACTCCACAAACACCATTAGAGGCTTGGCAACTTTTGAGAGTTTGGCCATTGGAACTCACATTGCCTGTTTCTCAAACAGTAAAGGGAACCCCGATGCCTCCTAAATTATTAAGGTCTGGACTGTTGTTTTTTTTGTGTGTGTGTGTTGTTGTTGTTTAACTCAATCTGGATCCTCCAAGATTTGTTGGGCAATCCACAGTGCCTGAAGGGACAGTTCTCAGTTCTGCGTGCCCCTTAGGCAGAGTGAGCCACTTGGAGAGAATGCATCACTGGCTGAAAAGTAGAGAAATGGGCTTGGCAACCTTTAAAAAATGGATTCAATTACAATCTTGCTAGAGCTTCTGAGCTGTAAAGGCTTTGGGAAAATCAATTATCACAAGACTGCTATGCTGCCCAGCTCAGAGACCCCACATGAACCCCCGGAGTGGTACAATGGGGAAGTCCAGGGACACTCTCTGGGCTTCTGTCTCTTGCTGAAAAAGGAAGACGTGACTGAGACATTTGAGTAGTCCTATCTGGTATCTGTTCTGTACTGGTTGGCCAGATCACGTGCTTCAATTCCTTCACAGTCCTTCCCAATGTCTTTTCTCGGACTCCAGGCTCCCTCATTCAGGCCTCTTATTCTTTTTAGGGTGAGAGTTAGGTGTCTCTTTCAGAAGCTGTCTGCATTCAGTTAGGAATCTTGATATACACCACAGAAACCTACCAAATTGTGGTGAGCAGAAAGGCAGTTAGTGGAAGGATAGCTCAGACACCAGCAGAAAGGCAGCCATCAGAACAATAGCTTACAGAGTGGAAAGGGATCTAGAGAAGGTAGCTTGGAAAAGGCGCAGAACTAGATGAGATTGTGACCAGCTGGACATCACCAGCACAACTGCCCTGCATTTCTGTCGCTTGGATTAAATATAAGCCATTCCTTAGTTGTTCTTAGGGCTTCTAGTCACTTCCACAAATGGCTCCATAGAGTGTGCTCTCCCCAGCCCACAATATGCATAAATGTCCCCAAAGGGCAAATCCAGAAGCAGACCATCTTTACCTTGACCACCTGGAAGTTCAGTGGATTTTCCTTGTCTGTTGATGGCAAACTTTGTGGCTTGATGGTGAAGGACACGATGACATTCCACTCTTTCATGGGCTCTCGAACAATGAAGAAGTACTGAGGGTCACTCCAAAGTCCATCTGTATGAGAAAGTCCTGTTACTACAGCTCATCACTGGCCCCTGATACCCTGGCAGAGTGAAGGGGTGGGGTGGGAGGGGTTGTGTCCTATTTAAAATGCACGCGGAGTGTGTGAGTGGTTGAGGAATAAACTCTGAATTTGGAGACCTAAGACTTGGCTTTGGCCCCACACTTACTAGTTGTGGCTCAGGTTTTTTCTTTTTTGAGGCTCAGTTTACTTTTCAAAACATGATGGGAGAGTATACTTTGGTGAAAAAGTTTGTTAAACTGTGAAGCAAGGGCTATTTTACTAACAATAACTGCAGTTCCAGAGTCCCTGTGTATATAAGAATTTGTGCACTGGCAGTAATCAACAGAACCTTGAAATACACATCAGTCCCCAAATACCAGTGGAGACAAAGCAATTTGTAGAACTTTGCTGCTCAAGCATGTTCATAGAAGCCAGAGGAAGCCGAGTGAATGAATGTGGGAATTGTTAGATTCAAATACATAAAAAACACAGAGATGAATTACTATAGAGCAGGAGATTTCTGTCACAAATGGAAATGGGAAGGCATAGAGCAGGGGTGGGGAACGTCTAGCCTGTGGGTCATAAAAGCCCTGTGAAATCATTTGGTCTGGCCTTGCCAAGGCAACTCTAGTTCCTGCCATCACATTGTTATTGTTGTGAAGTGCAGTCGAGTTGATTTCGACCCATTGCGAGCCTGTATAGGGTTTCCAAGGAACAGCTGGTGACCTTGAACTGCCGACCTTGCAGTTCAAACGGCTTTGCAGTCTGGTGCATTAACCCACAGTGCCACACCAGGACTCCATTATCACATTGTTCTTGTTGTTAAGTGCTGTTGGATCAGGTCCAACCCATAGCGACCCTGTATAGGATTTCTGAGGAGTACCTGGTGAGCTTGACCTGGCAACCTTGCAGTTTAAATAGCTTTGCTGTCTGGTGCATTAGCCCACAGTGCCACACCAGGACTCCATTGCATTAGGGGTAAGTTAATTAAATGTTTGACCAGATATAGCAGGCTAATTTTTAAGTTGATAACTTGGTATGACCCGTGAATAATATTATAAATTTTGACAGAGAGAAGACTCCCCCCCCTTGGCATAGCGAATGGTCATAGCCCTAGGGATTCTGGAAGATTGAGTAAGATGATACATTAAGAACACTTAACACTACACCATCCCCACCTCCTTCCCCTCTGTCCTTGGAAGGATTTACTAAAAATGGCCCAATATACCATCTGGATTATTCCATTTCTATCTAGGATATCCATAGCCATACCAAATCCTGGAGTGATTTGGTAGGTTCCCAGATTCTGCCCCTGACCTACTGGAGGCTTGATTTCTCTACCCAATAGAGTGAAGAACTTGGGTGTTAAAAAGAGGGGAACACCAAGGTATGGGGTGACTGGAGTCAGTTGTTCTTGACAGATCGTTTCCAGGAGTAGGGAATGTCTGAGTGAAAACACACACACATACACACTCACACAAACACATGGTTCACACAATTTCCTTTTCCAGAGACATGCAAGCATACACAGATTCATCTTTGCAGAGTCCTGTGTCTCAAAGGGGAATGGGAGGTACAGCAAGAGTATGTGACTCTCCCAGGACACGATTAACAAGACTCATCACAGGGGAGTCTAAAGACATGCTCACCCTGGGATCTCAACATGATGCTGCAGAAGACACCTCCCAAGACAGAGTAGGTTTAGTCTCCTTTGGGTCTGGAGGTGCTTTTTGGTTTCTAGGGTGGGCTAGGCAGATAGGATTACTAATCCCATTGTTTACAATTGGAGAAGCTGAGGACAGAGAGGCTAGTTTTATTTCCAGAATCACAAAGCTAATATGATGGGAAGATAATGGTTTAACCTAGACTTTGACTCTTTGTCCAAAGTTATTTCCACAAGTTCCACCACCCTGGATAGAGACTGAAGAGAGAGGTGTCTGTGTACTTCCGACAGGCAGATAGATAAGAGGTTCCAGGAGGGACAGTGGTAGAGCATGCAGGGACAGAGAGGTGCATATTTAAGACTCTCCTGTCCACCTTCCACCCGCAACATTTCCCACCAGCTGCCCTTGTCAGCTGTCAACCTTCCCTCTGCCCAGCTTCAGACTGCCTGTCCAGGACCCATGGAGTCAGTGAGAGCCAAAGCCAGGGCAGGAACCAGACTAGCAGGTGTTGGCAGCAGAATAATCACCAGTATTGCTACTACCTGCAGGGTTTCCTACAATACTTTGGTTCTCAAACATCATTTTAGACCAGCTTCCATGGAGCTTGTTTTCATGGTTCAGGCTGATTGGAAACCGGTTACATATAAACAGACAGTTGAAGTTCTTTTGGAAATCTTGACATGAAATCCTGTTAAAAACAGAAACCCATCACTAAATGACCACTGCTTTTGTCTCAACAAGTGGGAAGAGACTGCCTGCTAAATCATTACACTCTACTTTACAGATAAAATGACTGTCCTGTCCTACTCAAAACCTGAATCTTATTCTCTTCCCCCAAATCACGCACATCACCCTGGACTCACGGCCAGATGCCCTCTCTTCAGATCCTGTCCCTTCAGTGGCCAGAAGGGCAAGGACAGAGTCACAATCTAGGCCCTGCAAGTCTCAGAGCACCCGGCAGGAGCCTCTTCATCAACCACCATTTCTCTCCAACCCAATGATGAGTTGCTACAGGCTCTCTCAGCTAAGGATACTATAGACTGCCTGGAAAATCACCCTCCCCTGCGGTCTTTTGCCAAGTTCACTGTTGAGGTCTTTATCAGAATAAATTGGACTCAACATCTCAAATTCACCTCCTATTGTGTTGAAATTGGAGGCAATGGAGATCTTTCCCTTTTAATTTTCATTGATCCCTCCTCTGGTTCTCAATTAGTTAAACCCAGCTTCCTTTTTTAACACCTGCCAATTTCATTTAAATATACCACTAAGTAAACCAGACAACCTTTCAGAGAAATGTCCATCTTCTCCTCTAAGATGTGAGCATATGGCCAGGTATGTGTTTTCAAAACTTCTAGTCATGCATAACATCTGGGTGTCAGACTGAGATGTCTCACCCAGACCTCCAGGGTCAGGGATGGGAGATCAACACTATACTGTCTCTTTTGGAGATTCATGCCAGGGGAGACCATGGAGCTCCAGGCTCCCAATGAGATGGTACAGAAGATATAGGCATGATCACCAGACAGCCTAGTTTTCACACAATTTTGGATTTCAAAACTTTGGTTCCAACGTTCCCTCTTATTATTAACAATTTCTGCTAATTCTGTAGTTGTAGAACTGAAATACCTTTCACACAAAGATGGAACACAAAAATAATTTCCCATCTAAATTTTTTGCAGTTTCATTGAGAAAAGAGGCTCTCTCTAAACAGGTCTCTGCAAGGCTAATCCCCATCCCCATAAAATTTTGGGTAGAGGGGCAGGGGTGGAAGGATTGGACAAAAAATATGTAAAACATAATTAGTAAAGATAAGTACATACCAAAACTCTCCATCTTGCTTATTCTTATACAGTTGGTCTTTCCGATGATCAGAGGTTTCCTGCCATTCCTGAGACCTAAGCATGAAAAGACAGATCACAAGGTGAGGTCCCCCAGATTCCCTCATTTCAACCTCAAGTGGTCTGACAATGCCCTTTGCAAGTGGAGAGTGTCACTCCACCCAGAACTGAATCTACTCATTTTTTATGTGCAGATGGGTTCCAAACCTCTGTCCCTCACCTGAGCCTCTTTTCTGAGTTTTACACTGGTATGTGCTAAAGTTCACTCCACAGCTTCCATGCATCCAATGGAGATTCCAAAATTAGCCTGTCTCAAACTCTACTCATTCTCTTCCTCCTCCTACTGCCCAATCAAGGACACTAGGAATTGTTCTTTATGCTTTCTTTCTTTCACACACTTCAGACTGAAACAATTCCACCCCCTAAACACCTCTCAAAAAGAAGCTGTGGTGGCACTGTGGGATCAATATTGGACTGCTAACCACAAAGTCTGTGCTTCAATTCATGGGAGAAAGATGAGGTTATCTGCTTTGATAAAGATTCACAGTCTTAGAAACTCTATATGGGGTCTCCATGAGCCAGAATTTCCTCATTGGCAATGGAATTTTGGGGGTCAAACACCTCTCAAAGCCATCCACTGATTCCCATGCCAGCTGCTACAGTCTTAGCTTCAACCACTCTCATCTCCCTCTTGGCTTCTAACGGGTCACCCTGAACTCAGTTCTGCCTACCTACTTTCTTATTTACTTGCCCCTCTTCCATCCAAATGATCTTTCTAAAATGTTATTTCTCTGTTTAAAACACATTAATAGTCTGCTGTTACTCTCAGGATGCAGTTCAAACCTCTTATTGGAATCTGTGAAGCCCACCACTCAAATTCTCTACTCTAACAATAATGAACGTCTTTCAATCCCTTAAAGCATGATGTGCCCTCTACTTGGAACACTCTTCCTTCTCTCAGTCCTATAACTCCCTAGCCCTTACTCATCTGTTTTCCAGTAAAGCACTTCCTCTGAGAAGCCTTGCCTATCCCCCTGCTCTACCTGAGTCAGCGCCCCTCCTTGGAGCTCCTACAGACCCTGTAGTATGCCTGTCTTAGCACTTGGCATACTGGACTATAATGGCTGCCTTATTTATTACTTATCATCTCTCACTAGACACCAAGTTACATAAAGTAAATGAGCCTTGCTCACCATAACATTACCGGTATTTAACAAAATTCCTTTGCACATAGTGGGCACAAAATAATTTTTCTTAATTAATGGCTGTACCTGCAGGTTCTAACACAGTGTTTCAAATAGTAGATATTGAATATGTTGGTTGAATAATGACCTTTCACAAGTGCAAAGTGCTATCCCTCTCCTCTCTGATCTTGATGAGGTGGTTTTCTGTGAATAACTGACTTGAACATGTCTCAGCACAAGACATTTAGAACATTGCTTCTGTTTCTTGACTTTCTGAAGGAGATATTCTGGTGGTTTCTCGAAGTACTTCTGATCCATTTTAGATGTACAATTCCTTCCCTTAAGTCACTTTAGTCATCTGGAGTTGGTGACTTTATTAAGGTACCAGAACTGAGGAACATTAATAGCTGTATTCTGTGATAAGTGTTTAGATTTAATGAGGAGCCCTAAAGAAGGTAACCAGGTAAGCAAGAGGTCTAGAAGCCATGCCACCTAAGAAACAGAACCATCTAATGTGTTTAGCTGACTGAAGAGTGGAGGTCTTAGCAACTGATGCGCTACAAAAGCAGGCTGGGCTGCCTTTGGTGAGAGGACCATCCCTCAGTGGGGAGCTAGCTGACTATCTAGCATTGTGGCTTGGAGAGGGGTTTCTCTTGGGTGGGAGTTTTGAACTAGTATACCTGTAGTTATTGTTGTTAACTGCTGTCAAGTCGGTTCCGACTCATAGCCATCTGTATAGAGTTTCCAAAGAGCGGCTGGTGAGTTTGAACCACCAACCTTGTAGTTCAAACCAACTATGCAGTATGGTGCTTATCATACAGCTCCATATTAGAACTGTGTAGTATAATAAAAATGAAATGGTCCTAACCAGAGAAGCACAACACCAGAGATGGAGACAGAGGTGATGGGATAGAGAGATCCTCAGAGGCAGCTGAGGACTCTAGTCTCATGGAAAGAGGAAGACTGTGTGCTGGCAGCCAGGAGGCAGGCTTGCAGAATGTGCCCTTTGGTTGTTTAAATGATTATGTATTCCTGCATGTTTCTGTTTACATCAAAAAATAAAAGAATACTGTTAGCAGATGGTGCATGGAGGGAATTGTAATCATTGCATTGAAATATAATACAACTGGTTGAGGGCAAAACCAATGTTCTCCCACATAAGCTATCACTCAGTTCAAAATATCAGCTTTAAATTAAAAAAAAAAAAATGCAATGGAATGATATCATTCTTTCTTGACCCTTACTAGCTGGGTCACCTTGGACAAGTACCTGAATCATGCTAAGCCTCAATGAGCCAAGTGATGAATTGAGGCTAAGAATTCCTACCTTCAAGGGTTGTTTCTGATGCTAGGTGTACTCTAGTCAATTACGACTCATAAAGACTCTCTCCTAAAAACAGAATGAAATATCACCCAGTCCTGTGCCAGCCTTACAATAGGATGTTCAAGGTAGTAGAAAATGTTGTTATAAGAATTAAATAAGATGATAAATTAAGTGCCTGAACCATAATAAGGCTTAAGTTAAATTTAGCTATTTTCCCACTATGATTTGTAAGGTATTATTCAGAGCACTCACTGTTTAATTTTGGCTGGTACATTTACATAAACAGGTATGATATTTGCATATTTTATTATATTTATGTAAATGTGCATTATATGCATCTCTCTTGCTTGGTAATATCAATGTTGTTGTTGATGTTATTCGGTGGTGTCAAATCGGTTCCAACTCATAGTGACCTCATGTACAAAAGAACAAAACACTGCCCAGCCTTGTACCATCCCCAATGAGCCCACTGCTGCTGCCACTGTGCCAATCCATCGCATCGAGGGTCTTCCTCATTTTCAATGACCTTCCACTTTACCTAGCATGATGTTCTTCTCCAGTGACTGGTCCTTTCTGATGTCTGAAATATGAGAGATACAGTCTTGCCACCCTGGTTTCTAAGGAATATTCTTACTGTACTTCTTCCAACACAGATTGGTTTGTTCTTCTAGCAGCCCATGGTACTTTTAATATTCTTCTGCAACACAATAACTCAAAGGCATCAAGTCTTCTATGGTCTTCCTTACTTACTGTCCAACTTCACATGCATATGAAGCTATTGAAAATACCATGACTTGATAGTTTGACTAGAACAAGGGGACACTGAATGGTTTAAAATTTGGAAAGGTGTATGCCAGGGTTGTATTCTTTCACCATATTTGTTCTGTCTGTACATTGAGCAAAGAATCCAAAAAGCTGGATTATATAAAGAAGAACGTGGAATCAGGATTGGAGGAAGAGTCATTAGCAACCATGCAGATGACACAGCCTTACTTGCTGAAAGTGAAGAGGACTTAAAATACTTCCTCATGAAGATCAGTGACCACAACTTTCAGTATAGGTGGCACCTCAATGTAAAGAACACAAAAATCCTCACTGCTAGGGCAATAAATAACTTCATGATAAATGGAGAAAAGATCGAAGTTGTCAAAGACTTCATTTTGCTTGGATCTACTATCAACACTCACTCAAGCAGCAGTCAAGAAATCAAATAATGTATTCCACTCCAGGATCTGCTGTCCATTCCATTGGGACAACGTGTTATAAAAACTAGCTGTCTCAGGGTTTGTGGTGGAGGAGACTCTCACAGGCAGGAGAAGGCAGCTACTCCTTACTCAGCCCACTCTTCAGAATATAGGAATACTTATTTGCCCCAGAGGCACAAAAGTTTACTGAGATCTTTCTCTGGATGTGGTTTGCATTGAAAGCCTGAGTCACCTGTGTGTCACCATAGAAAGGCAGGGACCACCATTAAGGCTTCCGGCAGTGGGCTCAGTCAGTCAGATGTGTTATTGTAAAATGGCAATTTTATAATTAAGCGATAATTATGTTCTCTGCAGTGTGTAAGGGAAAATAAATGTAGTGTAAATCAATATGCTATCGATTCATGGAAGTTTGCCTTTAAGTATGTATGACTGAAATTTCAATTATGACTAAGATTAGACTATCGGCCTCTCTCCATCCATTTCCCCTCTTTAAAAAGTGGGAGGAAATTTGCCACCTGCACGGGAACTATAATCATTCAGTCTCCATCACATGCCTTGGCACATTATCCTACAGAATTGGTGCTGTAAAAATCTCCTCTACAATCTCTGCACAATCACGCCACTGTTCAAGAGTCTTCATTCATCCCCATGCCTGTAAGATATAAATGCAAACTTCCAAGCTGGCACTGGGTTCTCCAATCTATGGCCTGATTGGGCTCTCCATTACCAGCTCCCAACTCTTCTCCTCCAGATTTCTCTGCCTCAAGCCTGCTTGTTCCACAGAAACACACTAGCCATGTTCCTTATCCCAAACTCATAGTAGTGGTCTCACTTCATCTCCTACTTGGAATGCCCTTCCTAAGGGAGCCATAGTCTCTCCACAGAAGACCAACTCAAGTTCAACCCATCCATGAAACTTATCCTGAACATTCCAGCCCATGGAAAACTTCTTTTCCCTGATCTCTGGTGCCTCTTATCTTCATGAATCTTTTGACATTTAACATGGAAGTCATGGGCAAAATATCATCTCATGTGAATTTACTACCCTTCTCCTTTCCAAAGGGAATCCAGTCTTGCCATTGGCCCTTTCCTCCATTGTCACCCCAATTAGCAATCCCAAATTGAGGATTCAGGTTAGATACATCACAATCTGGGATAATTATTGTGAAGAAGAACTGGGAAACTAATCTGAACTTATTATTAGGATCTACAGTGGAAAGAGCACAAAGGAGCCCAGAGAAAGAAAGAAGTTTAGAGGCTAGAAAAAAGGAGAAAGGGGGAAACTGAGTGAATGCATTGTGTCAACTGGTTTGAGAAACTTGTCACTCATGAAGTCTTTGGGTGC